ACTTTTCAAATAAACTACAGTAGTCCCCCCTCATCTACAGTTTTGCTTTCTTGTTACCCACGATCAACTGTGGTCCAAAAATATTACTTGGAAAATTCCAGAAATAAGCAATTCATAAGTTTTGAATTTTTCTATTTAAATTTATTTATGATTGTTCTATTTTATTATTAGTTATTGTTAATTTCTTACTGTGCCTGATTTATAAATTAAACTTTATCATAGGTATGTATGTATGTATAGGAAAAAAACATAGTTTATACAAACTACATGTATAGAGGTCGGTACTATCTGCGGTTTCATACATCCACAGGGGCTCTTGGAACACATCCTCTGTGGATAAGGGGAGACTACTGTATACCAAAGTCGATATGCAAAAATACACGTAAAACTCACTGAACTCAAGTCAGGCTTTTGTCCTTACTGCTGAAACAAATCTGTCTTTGTCAGAGTGACCTCCACGTTGCTAAGTCCAGTGGCAATTTTCATCTGTTATTTAATCTATCAACAGCACCTGGTGCAATTTTTTCCCTTCCTTCTTGATGCATTTTTTTTTAAGTTGGGTCTTAGACCTCTTTTCTTTTATGTCCAAACTCATTCACCATCTGGCCTCCTGACTTTACCTGTTCTGATTACTCCCAACTTTCTAGGAAAGACCACTTCCCCAACTTCACACTCAAATATTTAACTGCCTACTTGACATTGCCACTTGGATGACTAATGGGCATCACATACTTGACATATTTAAGATTGAGCTCAAATTATTCCCCCAAATCCTGCTTCTCCTGTAATCTTCCATACCTCAGTAAATGGCAAGTCCATTTTTACAGTTGTTCAAGCCAAAACTCTTGACATTACCTGTGGAGTATGCAAAAAAAACAAATGTGCTTCACAGGGCTGGTTTTCCAAAGCCTTGCAGTTTCAAATATTGACCTTGCAAAGGACAGGAANTCAAGCCAAAACTCTTGACATTACCTGTGGAGTATGCAAAAAAACAAATGTGCTTCACAGGGCTGGTTTTCCAAAGCCTTGCAGTTTCAAATATTGACCTTGCAAAGGACAGGAAATTTTCCCCAGGCTATATAGTCTCTGCTGTAAGATAAAGAATTGTAACACAGAAAGGTTGCTGACTCAAGGACAGACAGGTTACTGATTGATATGTAAAGATACTGGGAAATTGCTGTAAGAAGAGAATGTTTGCTAAAATCAAGCTTTTGTTGGTGGAGCAACTGAAATTCTTGAAAATTGGATTATGGAATGCCTATTGTTCAAGTTGTTAAACTA